GGAATAATGCAAATGACTTTGAAAGGATAGATTTCTCATTGGTATAATCGCTCTGATACTGAGAGATATTAAAAGGCTGAAAAAGATGTAGATGTGAAAGACAACGCACTCTCTTATTCTTCTGTACAGCTAGTTATGAAATGTTGACTGACAACAAGAAGTGCTAAAACAGAAAAATAACAATTCCTTCAGCTGTATGAAGGGAAAAAGTGCAAACTAGTTAATCTTATTTTTCTTTAAAAACAGAGGGAGCAATTTAATAGATTCATAGATCTATTAGCTTTAACAGGTTAAATTAATAATCTAAGTTAAATAATGACCATTGTATTTATAATTTGTTTAACTCTCTTCAGATGTTTTAATAAGGTAGGAATTGTCATAACTGGATCGCTTTGCCATTGGCAAATTCAAAAGAATAAAATAAGAGAAAAACTTTAGTGTTTTTCTGACTGTTGAAGATTAATTAGTACCCAGCAGAAATTACCTATACCATAAATGACAAACTACTACGTATCTCAACACAGAACAAAAGATCTGCAAATGCCAGCAAGACTACATTGCTTATGTCTACTTTATTCTTATTCTTTTTTTATTCAAGGTCATCCCACCAGGAAATGAAAAACAGCCATCAGCATAGTAAAAACATTCAAACAGAGCAGAGCATGAAAATTGCACAAAAGAGGTTATATAATCAAGTCAGTGCAGTAACTGGATGATGTCAATGGCACTTTAATGCTGCTTTAACTACTGCCCTGTAAAAAAATGTGTCACTGTTGAACAAACAAAAAGAAGGCCATCACTTTAAAAAAATAAAACCAAACCCCACTTTCAGCTATAGCATTACTTATAGTAATCCTCATGGCTGGAAGCGTAACATTTTCTAGACGACCAGAGGAACCAAGATTTTTTTTTGCCTGATTTTAAGATTTGGTCCTAGTGATTCTTTTACAAACAAAATTACATTGTTCTCCTTTTTCTTGGCAATTCATTTACTGGATGAATTCTTCCCCAGTCTGATTACTAGATACAATATGTGATTTTCTCTAATTTACATTGATTTTTATTATCTGTACATCAGTACTCAGCACATAAAATAAAGCCACTGCATTTTTAAATAGGAAACTAAAACATAATTCTTACATGGTGAATGGGTATATCATAGTCAATAATATTTAGCATACCATAATTTTAGTAACAAAAGTAAATGGTAAGATCACAAAAAATATTGAAATCTGTAGAACAGGATGCCGAACATTCGGCAGTACTCACCTTGATCATAAAACGATGCTTACAAAAATATAAAGAATTACATCTGGATGATCCATCAACTATCTAATTAAAATAACGCCTAATTTGCACAAATATGTAAGATTTGTTGAAAGGGACTTTGAGTTTATAAGTCTTAAAAAATATGTTTATCAGATACAGCTTTGGTGAGTGGAGAGCTTATGACAGAGCCTTCTCCAAGAGCTAAGGATTTGTTTTAACTAACAATTATTTTGCCATTAGAGTTGAAAGGAAAACATTTAAATGTGAACTCAATGAAAAGCAATAGAGTATTGTCTTACTAAGTCTGTAGATCCCTCTGCTGCCTTTGCTGCCAATTTTTCCAACCAGCTATGCAGTGCCATTAATAGGACTCAAGCAGGATTTGCTGGTTCAAAGTTTTAGGCATGTAGGCTTAACTGTCAAGAATTATACATGGAAATTTTACTCTGGTATGATCATGGCTCTTTGTCTTATCCATCTTCAGAGTCTTCCAAAATCCATCCACTACAGAAATATTGTATTTTAAAATTTGAAATTTTATTTTATAATTGTTTCTAAATCTCATGCTATCTTAAACAAAAACAAAACACAGAACCAAAAAAATCTCCTTTTAACAGTATGGGTAGAATTCAAAGAGATGTAATGCTATTTCTACAGTCTGAAGAAATAACAAGAAAAGGCGAAATCTGTCTTTATTCCTCTCAGAAGGATCTGTTTCTAAAACCAAACAATGAAAAGGCTGTCGACAGTACAGCCATATGATACCTTACTGATTATTTCTGACAGAAATATCCTTGGGAAAGGGCTGCTTTTCTTGTTCTGCATTTGTGCCATGCCCAATAAAATCAGGCACGATAGCTGTGCATGAGTGCTGTGCTAATGCAAATACATGACGGTTAAGGTCTTGGATCAAGCAAAGAGTGAACTAATGGTTGGCACAGTCTGTATTGTAAAGAGCTACTGATACATCGAAATATTTTTAGAGGATTAGTGACAGTTGGAGATGAAACCTCTTCTCACTTTCCTTCTCAATATTTATTGTTTCAAATGTACTTTTCAATTAAAAAAAGAGTTTCTCGTCTATAGTAGGCTAAAGAAGACACCAAAAAGTGAATTTGACTAGTTTACGGCATACCATGAACTACTGAAACAAATGCGGTAACAGCTTCATTTGGTTTTGTAGTTAATAGTCGTGTGAATTACTACTGTGAAAAACCCCACAGAAATACTGCTTTTATGCTAGTCATAAACTAAATCTTCCCCCCCACACCCATCTACCATTTTGCTAAATAAATAATGTTTCCGTACCTCTCTGTCTCACAGGGATGCTTAAGTCTAAACTCTGTATCCATGAAATATTGATATTCTCAGAGGAAAGAACCGAAAGCCAGAAATATTATCATCCCCTGGCCTCCCACAAGGGACAAGTCACACCACAGTACAGAAGTTCCTGTCTTAAGGCAATTATTGCCGTCAGAGCTGAACCATCCCTTTGAGAAAAATATAAAACTGTGATTCAGAAAGACCATGAATCAAGCAAAACCTAATGACTTGCTAGTCATTCTAGTAGTTAACTACGTTCACTGTTAAAAATGGGATAGTCTCACCCTGCTTCCAGCTTGAGCGTGTTCATCTCAGTTTCTGCTCACTAGAAGTAAACAGCTGAAACTAAGGAGTAGCATTGACCATTTCTCTTCAAACAAGTCCACAGGAGTTAAGCACTGAAGTTCATACACAATTTTTTTTTGCAGCAGTTGTTAAAGATTTGGACGTTAATTAATTAATTAATTAATTAATTCTTTAAAAATGTGAGTGGGCAGGAAAATATACTCACAATTCTTTGTAATTTTTCTAATTTTGTTCTATGTCAGATTAGTTCCTTTTTTTCTTTACTGTTAGGAAAATGAATGCAGGTGCAATGCAAGAAAATGAGCATGCATATTCATAGAAGAAAATACACAGTGATGCAGAAGAGTCACCTGCATTTTACTGGAGTGCTGGAGCTCAGATCACTTCTTAAGCCTCCTTCTAGCTCTGATCCAGCTGGGTACACCCTGCACACTAGGCGAGTATCAGCCCAGAGCTGAGGGCAATGAGCTCTCAGCAGCAGAAGATCCTGGGATCACAGGGATGTGAGCGAGGGCTGGGAAAGCAGTAACAGACTGGGCTAATATACTAGTATGGAAGTGTGATTTCCCCATCAGTGCAGTGTTGGGGGCTTTTCTTTCCTCATTGGTACAGTGCATGTGAGCTTGCATTATATTTATTATACTAATAAATAACATCCAGCATCTACAATGCCAATGACCTTACTAAAAAATGCCCATTTTGTCTCCTTCAATTCAAAAAGAATCAACATCAAGCCAAAGGATGTGGAAAATTGAAGGAATTACTGCACCTAAAAATAACATCTAAATTTGAATCAAAAGCCTTTATTCATTGAAAATCTATGCGTCACTCTTCCCTCTCTACTAGGAGAATTTTATTGGAACATATTTCCAACTGTTATGTACTTTCCAGTTATTTCCAATACAGAGATTGCCATGTTGGATTCAAATGGACTCAGAGGTGTTGTTACTATTTATCTGGAAACATGTTCTTACAGAATGCCAAGGACATTATACTATTAGTATGGAAAGCACTAGTGGTGCGTATAAAGTGCAAACACAAAAATTCAGGTACTCTGTCACTTGGCTGCAGATCGGCTTCCTGGTTTCAGACAAAGCAACAGCTCTTCCTTCTACTTTATGGAAAATCCCAGGTCACCTCACTGAAAAGGCTGCAGCTCTTGGAATCGTATTTTCTGCTTCCTGAGGTTAATGACGGGCTGCTAGAGCAGATAAGTTAGCTATTTTTTTGCTCTGCCTCCAGCTCCTCCTGCTCCTGGCAAACCAAACTCAGATCAAGAACTGGGAGTGACGGGGCTGCATTAGGATTCCTCCGATATTCATCTGCTCGTTCCTCACCAGTGCAGACAGCCTCAGCGCAGGCATTGGTGCGTTCCTGTCTCTTGGGAGGAGAGAAGCTGCTTTCTGCCTACAAAGAGCAACAGAAGCAGCTACTGAAAGACATTCAACCTTGAAGTGCCCACTGAATGACTTTTGGTGAAGGCAATCTCTGGGAACAGATTATTCCTTCCTTTTTCTTCTTGCTATATCCATCCTAACATCAGTATCAAAATTATAAACAAACAAATAAAAGTCATTTTAGAGCTACTAATTTCCTGTTCCCACTTCCTACCCATTAGGGAAAAAGTTATCTTACAGAACGCATCAAGAGAATAAATAAAATATAATAATAAATATTATGCTTTATATATTTTAATCATATCCTACAACATGTAGAATCAATCAACACCCAGCTCATTTTATCTCACATGCCAAAACTAGGATTGAACTAAATAAAATGCCTACAACTTCTTTCCCTGCACATTTCTGGATACTTCTTTTCTTTTTTCTCTACTCAAAGTAAAGCTGGATTGACCAGATTAAAAAAACAAAACAACAAAACAACCTTGGAAAATTGGATTGTTGCAAATTACAGATGTGTCTGAAATTTCCAGATAAATGTTACTGGTCTTGTGTGTGTTCGTTAGTTATTTAAAATTCCAGTGGCCTCACATCTATTTTGCTTTATGTCATGCATCCTCTTCTTAGCACTTCTAATATTGGCAGTATTAAATTAACAGTTAATTAGAAAGCACTTTTGAATATCTCTGTAGTAACAAAGTACTAAAAATACCAGAAAGAAGCATGAAACACTTTTAGACAGAAAATGTTTTTACACACTTACATGTTGTTCCCAAGGCCAAAAAGTTCATTTCTACATATAAGCGAAGACAATTCTGTGCTACCTCACTCTTCACAGTTTAATGCCATTTTTAAAGTAATAATTAAATCTGATTTTTCCATTTTTGAACATGTTTCAACTTACAGCCTTGTTTTCATCACACCTTATCAGTTAGAAACTAGCTATCACTCAGGCCATATAAATACCATTTGGGCCACGTGGAGAGCAACCTCACAGGCTTCCCAGTAAGACATTAGAGCTAACATGGGCTCTCAAGTGTTCAAACAGAAAGGAAAATGCTTTCAACCACGTGTGCGTGCAAAAAATGGGGAGAAGTTAAAACATTTGATTAGTCTTTCCAAAGTCAAATGAAAAAAAACCCCACAAACCCCACCCTAGAAATATCTCTCAAACATAAATTAAATACAAAGCTGCCTTTTAGAAAAATCAAATGTTTTAAAATAAACACTTAGCATGACAACTCAATACATGGGAGATTAATTAAAAATGAATTCAGGAAAGACAAAATTCTAAAAGTTTCCAAAGAAAGACTTTTGCTTTTGCTGCTGGGTGGGATCAGCATGCCCGGGGAAGCAGGGAGCGGGGGCAGGTGGCTCTCACTTCCCTGGCAAGGAGGGAAAGTGGAAGGGGACTTTTTTCTGCAAGGAGGTCTCAGCAGGGGCATTTACAGTCTCCTGCATGTGCAGAACCTGGCCCTTCAAGGTGTATCACAAACTTGGCTTATTTTTACAGTTTTTCCCTGAGCACAGGCCTATTTTGGTGAGGCCCCAGGGGCCAGCTGACAGGTTCCCTCAGGAAACAGTTCCTCCCCCCCACCGCCTGTCAGGCCACCGCTTCACTGGGGCCAATACGAGTGGCCACGGACACCACATCACAGGCCACAAAATCAGGGAAATGATTCAAGGGAAACCAAATGTTTTTCTCTTGTTTATTTTTCAGCTAACTTTGAGAACCAACTGAGAAGAGCCAGGGCAGGAACAAGCCACTACTGTTGGCACCCAGAAGCCAAAAGAAACCCAAGTACAACTCACAGGGTGTTGCTGGGTGGGGATTTTTTAACTGCCAAAGGATACAGTCTCTATTTTGCAAATTAAAACAGAAATTTGCAACAAAACAACTAGGTACGTACTAGCATTAATATACTGAGTAGACCAGCTACTTAAATACATTACTATTTTCTTTTAATATACAGTATAGTCATCTCAAAAAAAGAAATTTGAGTACTATTTGCAACCAAAAGTTAAAAAAATTTTTAGTTTCAGTAAGTAGATATATCTACTAATTACTTTTCAGCTTTCAATAACAGATTCTTAGAATGTCTCTACTACACAAAAATACATATTTACATGTCTTGGAAATGTATAAACTACTAGTATTCCGCTTGACTAAGAACACTGCCATACATATGGCTTAAAAGCCAGTGAAAAAATTCTTTCCCACAAATATTATTTACCAAATTTTAAGTTCACCTGAAAAAAGGATCCACTTGGACCCACAGCTAAACCAGCATTGCTGTAAGACTGGTCAGAAGTACAAATATACCCTCTGATCCACAGGCATACAAATACCAATTTATGGCTGGGATTTTCACAAATACTAAAGACATTTTAAGTAGAATTTAAGAGACTGAGGACTGCAAGCCACCAACCCAGCACTTAACCTCTTAAGCACATTAATTTCTGCTGGCAAAGTTTCCTCAGGCATCAGACACTGTGCTACTACAGTAGTGTCATGGTTGAAATCTCTCCTGAGAGATTATACACATGCTCTGGTCTCTGGAGGGACAAATCCTTCCTATGTGCAAACCATAGGGCTAAAGATAAGGCTGAGCTGAATAGATATTTCCCACCCACTGAAGCTTTGTCACTATGCAGTTAAAACCAGCAGATTTACGGAACGAAAGAGACACAAACCAAGAGAAAAAAAAAAGCAAATTTTAAATCCACAGTGGCATGCAACAAGTTTTTTTGAATCCTGATGCTATTGGAAGTTTCTTACATGTCAGTCCAGATCTTAAAAAGAATTTATTTTATGGGCATCTACCATCACGTCCAATTATGTCCAAAGTTCAAAGTTAAAAAATAAATTAATTCCACTCTAATAATCAGCTTGTTTTAAAAGCAATTTTTTGTTTGTACTGTGCAGAAGATTGGCTTCTGAAAAATGAAATATCCCTTCAGAGAAATAAGGATATTTTCAAAGCAAAGTCAACCTGCAAAAGTGAATAAGAAAATAAAAGATATTTTAATATTTAAGGATCCTATAAATGCAAGTTCTACTTCAGGTAACACACTAAGAAGTATTTATTATTATAGACTAATGTTGAGATATGTATTTTTTCTGATTTTCAGGAAAACAGTTTGGGAAGGTAGTTATGGCTAAAAAAAAAAAAAAAACCCAAAACCAACCACAACAAAAAAACCCCAACCCAACAAACAAAAAAGAAACAGGATACAAATTCTGTCACAATGTCTGACAAGCAAGACAGCTTTCTCTAAGCTAATGCTATTACAAAGCAATTCCTCATGGATAACCACAGGAAAAAAAAAAAGTAAATAAAAGGTCACAGAAAACTGTTACCTGAAGAATCTGGGTTGCACAGATATTACTGGTTTCATATATATTGTGGGAATTCAAAATGTTACCAATATTGAAAAGACGAAACTAGTTTGAATTCAACTTGATATTGTTGAATGATGAGTGCCAAACCACAACTAGTTTCTTTCTTTGATGAATAAGGGTTTATAAACACATGCTGCGGAGTTACAGAACTGACCTACATAATACACGGGAGTACCTGAGTGTGTGGGCTGTCCACAAGTTATCTACTTCCCTCTTATATCTGTTTTCTAAGTGTTGATCACATTGCAGTTCAGCAAAAATGGAAAACTTCCCCTGTACAATCTAAAGTGTTTGGCATACCCACAAAATTCTTCAAAAGATAGTTACATCTTTTTTATTATCAATCTCACTTTCTGCCACTTAAATTACTTTGCCAAAGTATTCAGTTGGAAATCTCCAATGAATATTGTGTCTCAGACTATTTTTACATTTTAGACAATATTTCTTCTGTTTCCACTACTTTTATGCAATTCTTCACATGCAAGATGTATCCAAACTGCATAAGGAAAATAAAAGATGTCAAAAAGAAAACATCTACTCCAGAAAAAACATGGAGTTGTCACAGTACAAAACATTTCAGAAAACACTCATAGGAAGCTTGGAATATTTTCTGGCTAAGACTCAAAACTGTCCACTGAATCAAGAAAGATGTTTTGGCACGTATCAAAATGTTAGGATTTTCAAGTGATTGAGCTTATTCATAAAGAACTCAGGAAAAAGAATAGCCTGAGCTTTAAAAATTGCCTTTAAAAAAGTGTAGGAGGTGTTTCTGTATGAAGAAAGGTCTTTATAAACTTTCCATAATTGCCTGGTAGCAATTATTTACACTCTGGACAACTAGGTCTTCAATCTACACATAAAACAAGCTTTATCTATACATAAAAGTCTAACTAGTGAACATTTTAATTGATTTATTTTAGCTGATTCTACCCGCTACATAGGTGCTGTTACAGTTACTTAAGCTTTGCCCAGGCCAATAAAATTAAATCAGAAAGTTAATGACTTGAATCTGGCCAGAGCAAACCACCTACTTGCATAATCAAATTGCTCTTGTTGGCTCTGCAGCCCTGTCGCAGCTCTGCAGCTCTTCCTGCCTGACAAAGTCTGTCCTTCCTCTGGCACTTTAAACCAAATGCCTGGGCCTTTTTTATTGGACTGAGAATGTTACCGCAGTCAAAGATCTGAATTTTATGATTCAGTCTATGCCTTTAAAAATAGCTTAAAATACTCCCACCTTTCAAATTTCTCAGAGAGTTTATCAAAACGCCATCAAACCAGAACTCTTTTCTTGAGCCCATATTAGCTGTTATCCCAAAGAGTGAAAAAATATCCCTTAAAAGGCATCTTGCTTTGATAGGTAGATTCCCAGCAGCAAATCAATCACTGTTTATCTTTTATTTATTTTTTATGCCACACCATCACACTGCTGCTCCAGTTTGTTACATTAGCTCAGCAGACAATGTAATGCGGCATTTATTGGTATTTATTCTGAGTTTTGAATGGCTCACTAGAGATATCCGTGCACCAGATCACGCACTGCCCCACATATTTTCAAAAATATTTTTGAAAAATTGGAAAAAAAATGTTTCCTCACCCACCATTAA